TTTTTTTTTTTTTCCAGGGCAACAAAGATAGAGTAGAAGTGAATCCCTCTCATTAAGGAAAAAAAGTCAGAGACAAAAGCCTGCAGAGGTATTAAATACTCCATTTGAAATTGGCTGCAAGTCTTTCATTGGGCTCTCCGTGCCTCCAGGCAGCATTGCCCTTTTCTATTGGTAGAAAGAACAAAGAAAAGTTTAGAGCAGTTCCAAAGAGAGTGGGAAGTGGGTCCCTCCCATGAAGGAGAAAAGGTGAGAGAAACCTGCTTCCATTTCTCCACTGAAGAATGAGAATAAAATACTACCTACCACACAGGCTATCCTAAGGACTCTGTCAGTTTCACGGGGCTGCCATTGCAACATATCAAAGGCCAAGTGGCTTCAACAACAAACATTAATTCTCTCAAAGATTTGTTTGTTTTCGGTTTTGTTTGTTTGTTTGTTTGTTTGTTTTCAGACAGAGCCTCAAGCTATCCCCCTGGGTAGAGTGCTATGGCATCATAGCTCACAGCACCCTCTAACTCCTGGGCTCAAGCAAGTCTCCTGCCTCAGCCTCCCAAGTAGCTGGGCCCACAGGCACCCACCACAATGCCCAGCTATTTTTCGGTTGCAGCTGTCATTATTTTTGGGCTGCCCGGGCTGGATTCGAACCCACCACCTTAGGTGTATGTGGCTGGCGCCTTAGCCACTTGAGCCACAGGCGCTGAGCCTCTCTCAAAGATTTGGAGGCCACAAGTCCAGGCCTCACTCCTGGGCTTGCAAACAGTGTCTTCTCCCTGTGCCCTCACAAGGTCATCCCTCTGTGTGTGTCTATGTCCTAATTTCCTTTTATAAGGACCCCAGTCAGACTGGATTAAGGCCTACTCACGTGACTTCGTTTTAACTTAATCACCTCTTTAAAGGGCTCATTTCCAAATACAGTCACATTCTTAGGTCCTGGGGGTTAGGACTTAAATATGTGGATGGCGGGGCACAATTCAGTCCCAGTATAATAACTAAATGAGTTACTGGTACATAGTGAGGATTATAGATTTATTCTTTCGGTTGCAGCTGTAAAAAAATTTCTGAGGCCAGGTGAAGGGGCTCACACCTGTAATCCTAGAACTTTGGGAGACCAAGGCAGGAGAATCGCTTGAGGCCACGAATTTGAGGCAGCAGTGAGCTGTGATGACTCTACTATACTCTACCCTGGCAATAGAATGTGACCCTATCTCAAAAATAATTTTTTTTTCTGGAAGTGTATAAGAAACTTTTTTTTTCCTTTTTCTTTGAGACAGGTCAAATGCTCTGCTCCGCCCCACCCTCAGTCTGGAAGACCCCATCTGTTACCTCTCCTTTTACCACCCCAGGGGTCTGAGATCCTTCCCTCCCTCATCCAGACAACCTTGCTACCAGTGGCCTCAAGGTTGAGGAGCCCACTGCCCTGTGCGTAAATGGAAACACTGAGGCCAAGGGTCCCCCAGTAGTCCAGATGGGCTCTGGACAGCTGCCTAGCCCCAGCCAGTTTCAGGGTTCCATCCCAATGAGGCACCCTACGAGAGGAAGTTACAGACAAATAGGGGGAAGTCCAGTGCTGGGTTCCAGGGTTCCAGGGTATCTGGGACTGCCTCCAACTGCCTGGACTCCTGGATTCTTGCCCTAACCAGGCAGGGACCCACAAAGGGAAGAAGGGCCTTTCCTTTCTTGACTCTTTAACAGTTGAATTGAATATTTCCCTTCAAATCATCACCTTTGAGGATCACAGTTAACCTTACCAACAAGGTAGAGAGCCCTGGCTGTACTTGCCTAGACTTACTGGGGACTCTCAGGACTCAGTTTACAGTCTGAGCAATGAAAGGTAGGACTTCTGCCATCCTGCTCACAACAGGTTTGGTGGGGGACCTGCCCTCAGAGCTGGGGCCTCCTGGCTCCCTTGTCTGTGTGCTCCTGTAGGCACACCTATGTGCACGTGTCTTTGTGTGTGCATGGGGCTCTTTGAACATATGTGCATGAGTGTCTGTGGGCACACACTAAAGCTTGCACACAAGCCGGTGTATGAAAGTTCACAGTGTGTGCGGGCGTATGGCGGCCACTCTCCTGTGAAGGGGACCGCTGAGGAGACAAACATGACTCAGGCAAGAGTGGGAACTGCACATATTGCTCCGGAATCCGCCCCTGGGGGCCAGACAGGAGGGACCTGAAGTTAGGAAAAGGACCAGAAATGGGGAGCCTCGTCCACCCACGCAGGGGAGAACCCCAGGGACTGGCTTCCCCTCTAGGGGGTGACGATTTAAAGGAAAATATTCAGCTGTGCTTGGTTCCTGTTCCTAGGTGGGGTCTGCCCTTCCTGGGAGCTGGTGGCGGCCCTTCCCGGGATGGCCGTCTCTCTCAGCCGACCTAGCGCTCATCCTTACGGGGAACCCACAACCTAGAGCTCTAACCTTAACCCACGGCCACGCAACCTCGTGGAGGCGCCTGCTAGTGCCAGATGATCAGGATCCGGACTCAGTCCCGCCGGGGTGGGCCCGGTGGGATAATGGCAGCCCCCTCCCCCACCTGGTTTCAGAGTTAGGCCCTTAAGATTTCCATTCCACCTGACTGCCAGCCTGGCTTTAACAGGGGCTGGGTAAGGGGCCACCGAGACCGGCTGGATATTCAACATCCCTCGGCTGTAGCCACCTGCCCCTGTCAATCTCGAGTCTCCCGCCCCCAGGAGCCGCCAATCATAGAGTAGCCCTCCCAGTTTCGTCATCAGTAGCCAATCAGTGCCGCCTCCAGCTCCCTTACCCAGCTGAGCTTCTAGCTAAAAGAGAAGGGGAGGAGGGGTAGGACTGCCTCATGTAGTAGACACCTTTTGGGTACCCAGTTCCACCGCTCAAGGCCGTGTCTTGCAAGTGACCAGACGTCCCGATTTTTAACAATTTGTCCCGCGGCGTTTTAAAAAAGTCCCGAGTTCTATGAAAATTTTTGTTGCTCCATATAGACCAAATTTTTAATTAAAGAACCCCCTCCCAGGTCAATGGTGTCCCGCTTTACCAATGTTAAAATCTGGTCACCCCTGGGATCGGATCCTCACCTCGGTTTCCTCCTCTGTAAAATGGAGCAATAGCAGTCACCCCTAGGCCCTAGGTCCCAGGTCAGGCCTGGGTGCACCGCACAACGTGAAGTGCAGTGAAGTCTCTTGGCATACTCTAGGCTAAATGAGATTCTACTCAAAAGGGCTCCACTGAGCGTCCCAAGTCCCTGCAGGGTGGACCTGGTACATAGGGTGGGCTCAGGATCCAGGCTGCGACTCTGGGAAAGTCTGGATACTTCAGCGCTTTCAGACTCTGCCAGATGGAGACAGGTCTCCTTCCCTCCCAGGCCTGAACCTTCTGGTCTGGATGTAGGCACCAGCCCAAAGTCTCCAAACTTAGCCCATCAGGCATATTCCTTCCAGGGCCTGTACTCCCACCCTACTATGTGGGGAGCACTCACACCCTACCTCCAAGTTTCCTAGTCCAGGAACACCTGCCATGAATGAAGGCTGAAGTTTGGTCTCCAGGTGAGTGTTCCTATCTCCATACCTTCTAAATACCCAGTGTGCAGAACCCAGGCCCACCCCATGACCCATATGCACTCCCACCAAAGGAGGCTTGCATGGGGGAGAAAACCCCTGAGGGGTCACTGATCTAGGCACTTCCTACCACAGAGCTCCTACTGTGCATGTGTTTCCGCCACTGGGGGCTCTGGGCAGACCTATAGGCTGAGCAAGAGTCTGAAACTGTGAGCATGATCCCCACAGCTCGCAGACCACCTACTGGAGCTGCAGCCCCACTCCCTCTAGACTCTTCCACAACTAAGCTAGAAGCAAGGGCACTCACCTGTCCCATCAGCCCTGCCCCCCACCTCCAGTCCCAAGACACACACAGACCGGCCTGGGCCTACAGACTTGGCATTATTTTATTTTGCTCTTTCCAGTTTGAAGCTACTATCATGGGCAGTTTGAGTTATACAAATGACACTTAGAAAAAATAAAAGACCAAGACACCCAGAGTGAGATGCATGATAGTGCAGGGAGCTGGCAGGGGTGGGGGATCCTAGTATCTCACCCCAGTGCTCCCCGCTGAGGATGGCACCTGGCTTCATCCTGCCCAGGAGACCAAGGATCCAGGCAGACCCAGGCAGACACACAGCACCAGACACAGCAGGGGCTCTGGCTGAGGCAGTGAGGGTTAACCTAGGGCTGAGAGCAGGGACTGGAAGGACCACAGAGGGAGAGGACCCGGCCATGCCCAGGAGGACAGAAGGGACCAAACTGAGCCCCTGGGGAGGTAGGGACAGGTCTGACCCCCTCAAGAACACTCACTACTACAACCAGGCTTGCCTGGGGCACCTCCAGCCACAACATTTTATTAAAAAAAATACTGATTTGGTCATTTTTTCCTTCCAGTCAGGCCAGGGTGAAAGGAAAGAGACCCCCACCTCCCACCAGGAGGAATGTGCAGTGGGCAGATCGTGTGGCCACAATACCTATCTGCTCAGAGCAAGGGGAGCTGGGCTGGGCCCTTGCACAATAGGAGAGGGCTGCCCTCCAGCCACAACCCAGAAAGCACAGGTGGGCAAATATCAGCCACACCCAAGAGCTCCCTCCTGGTTCAGCACAGGGAGGGCTTCAGGAGGGGGCAGGAGATTCCAGTTACATGTCCCACCATGCATGGGGGCTCAGGAGGCCTCCCAGCCCATTTCTCCTCAGCCTCTTCCTAGGATATAAGGCTCAGAGCTATCTGAGGTCAGAAGAAAGAGGTGCCAGCCTTGCCTATGGCAGGAAAGAGAACAGAGGGGTCTGAAGTCCCTTCAAGGAACAGGCCAGAGTTGCTGGCCCACAGGGAGTGGGACCCAGTGTGGGGGAATGGGTAGGGGCACCATTTCTCTGGGGTTTCCAGTTTGAAAGGCAAGGGACAGCCAGACTCAGGCCCCCTAGGGAGGTGGGAGTGGGCAGGTTGGAGGGGGCTGAGGGTGGGCACTAGTACTCCCAGAGTGAGGCAGGGTCAATGGTCTCAGCAGAGGCCTTCAGGACGCCTGCGTGGTCCCCCTTCAGGTAGCGCCCACCCACCTTGATGGCCACCTTGTTGTAGTCATAGAACTCGAAGAAGAAGTCCACAGGGGTATCGCTGCTGCTGGTGACTGCCGCATCACTGCCCACCATCCAGTACTTGCCTGTGGAGTCTGGATTGAGGGGGAGACCATCAAACTGTGCCCCAGACCAGGATCCCACCCAACCCTAGTCAGCAGAGGCACTACCCCAACAGGGCCCCTCCTTCTTCTTAGGTCCCTTCCAGACCTGATTCTGGACCCGGGATGGGTCCGTTTCCCCCCAGCCCTCCTGCCTAGATTGGACATATGAATAGGGTTCCAAAAATGTGTTCTGAATGCAAATCAACACCTCTGGATTGTCAAAAGTCCTCCTCATGGGGTGAGTTCTGGTCCCATAACCAAGGTGTGTCCTCCCCTGCCCACCCTTACCAGAACCTTCCCTATTCTCTGCCACACCACCACCTTCCCTATCTCTGTCCTATGTCTACTCCTCCCCCCAGACAAGAAGGAAAGAGGCTACTCCCAGAGCTCATGGTGGCCATAGGACATCTGTCCCCATGAGGCCTGGAATGGCCCTAAGCCAGGCACCAGCAGAAGCATGCTCCCATAGCCATGACACCAGCCCCCCAGCTGGGAGAGATGGATGATCCCTGCCTGGGTGTCACCCTAAGGAGAACTTGCCTTTGATGTTATAAGCACCATCATTGAACTCAAGCTGAAAGACGTCATAGTTAGAGCGGTTGGCGTCCAGAGTGCCTGTGACCTTACGGCAGCCAATGAAGCCATGTTCCCCACGGAAGACGATGATAGGGCGGTTGATCAGCTTCATGAGGAAGAGTTCTGAGTCCCCTGTGCCAGAAGAGGGGA